AAAAAAAAAAAAAAAAAAAAAAAAAGAGATAATGGCTGCTTAGTAATTAATAACTAAGAATGTCAATGTCTTCTTTTAAAAGAGAATCAATATTGGTTCCCCAATTTTCCCGAGTAACTCGAATTCGAGACATGGTACACGCCGAGCGAAGGTACGCGTCACTGAGCTAACCCCTCTTCCTCATAACTAAGAATGTCAATGTCAACTACTAATTAATGTGGAACAACCCTTTGGTACTTCAATCCTGTGGACGATGATGATGATGACTCACTAAACCCTCTCTTCCTCTCATTATTACACCCACCCACAATCCGAAACGGGTCCCCGATTCCCGCCGCCGCCGGCGGGATTAGGTGCGCCTCGAGCGGCGGTGGCGGGTGGCGCCACCGTGGCAGCGGCCCGGCCACGAGGAGCGTCTGTAAAAGTGGGCCGGCGCCCATCACCGCCTGCAGGAGCCTGCCCTTCTCCGGAAGCGGCGGCGGCGGCGGCGGAGGAGGAGAGGCGATGTTCTCGTCGTCGATGCTGGAGGCGCGGGATTTAATTGGGCCGGGCCGGTGGATCTGGTTCTGGAGCATGAGCTTGTCGAGGATGGCCCTGTGGCACTTGTATTGGGCCTGGTCCCGCTCCTTTAGGGCCCGGCTGAGCAGATTCTTGAGCTGGGCTATTTGGTGGTCTCGGGCTTTGACCTCCTCTTGGGCCTTGACCCTCGTGTCCTCCAGCTCCATGCTCAGGATTAGTGACTGTCTCAGCCCCTCCATCCCCTGCTTAATATTAAAGCAAATGAAAAAGATAAAAAATAAAATCACCTCAAATTCATTGTGTTCAAATTTAGATATTAATTAAATAAAATAAAATAAAATAAAAATAATAAGAAGAAATTGGATATAATGGAAAGATTATGAGTTTTGAGAAATTTTATTCACCTCTTTAATTTGGGGGATGTAATTAGTACAAAGGCTTGCTTGGGGTGTGCCTATTTGGAGAGGAGAGAGAGGATCAAAGAGGGAGAATGTAAGTGGGTTTAGAGTCTTTATAAAGGGTCTAACTAATGGCAATTTTTTCTTTAATCTTATTTAAGTAAGGATAAAAAATTATGGAGAAATAACAATAAAAGCTTGTGATTTGTAGACCTTTTAACCCCGAAGGTTGAATTTTTATTAGACGAAATAAAGTAGATCAGTTGATAGTACCCTTTACTTTAAATCAATAAGTCTCGAGTCGAGTCATACAAGAAGTAAATGAGAAACACTATCGAAATTCAATTTTTTTTTTTTTTTTCGAAACGATAAAGTTTATAGAAAAACACATAAGTACAACTAGATACAACTAAAATACCAAACAACTATCTAGCTGAATCTAGCGGGAGGTCAATTACATCTCAATTACATCGACTCACCCACAAGACGACTCTAACAACACAACTTTCATATCGGGACAAAAGCTCCTACTAAAGGAGAATAAGCTCCTGACAAGAGGAGAATCACCAAACACACAAAATTAAAAAAAAAAAAAAA